TATACCTAATGATGATAAGTTGGTGCCTTTATTGATGAAGAAATATCATCAAGATAGAGCCCATGTTGGTATATCTGGTACACTGCAAGCCATGTTGAAGGTGGTTTGGTGGAAAGATATACGTAAGAATGTACGAGACTATGTGAGGTCCTGTCAAGTATGCCAGTTGGTACGTGGCCGCAAATGCCATCCTCAGGATCCTGGGTGGATTCACAGTGTCCCGCAGCCATGGCATTTAGTGGGAATTGATATAACTGGTCCGTACATTGAAAGTGAAGAAGGGTATAGGTATTTGCTTACAATGACATGCCTCTACTCACGGTATGTAGTGGCGGTTCCTTTGAAGCAGATTACAGCTGATAGTGTGTTGAAGGCATTGGTGGCTACGTTTAAGTGGCTGGGCACTCCCTATATTATATTAAGCGACAATGGTGCCCAATTTACTAGTCGTAAATTTGAGACCATGTGTCAGGAGTTCTCTATTGATCATAAGCTCACGCCGAGATATAGTCCCTTCTTGGGTGGAGCTTATGAACGTACCCATCAAACCCTCCACCGAGTTCTGATTAGTATGCTATTAGATGACTCTATCAGGATGAAGATGGATGGTGTAGCTGCCTTGAAGGAAGACTGGGTTGCGAAGTTGGATGATGCTCTCTACGTGATGAACTCGAGAAGTTTAGAGTCCGATGAGAACGGCAATTCGGTGTCTCCCTTTGAGCTAATGTTCGCTAGGCCGTTGCGCCAAAGCACCAATGCGGTATTGGAGAGATTCAATAACGAGAAGCCTTTTCGACTACTGCGGGGTGCGCAACCTTTGAAAGAAAAGGTGCACAAACCAACAGTAGAAGAAGCCTCTAGAGCCTCCAAGGAAAACCGAACACTGCTTACGAGCAGGTTCGAGAGAACTTGGGAGGATATGAGAGAGAAGTCTCGTCAAGAATTGATAAGAGCAGCGTCGAAGCTACCGGTCCAGAAGATTGTCGTTGGTGATTGGGTGTGGATAAGTAAACCCAAGCAACATAAGTTGGATATTCCTTGGCAAGGCCCCTATAAAGTTGAGCAAGTTCAAGGAGTATCTGTGGTTGTTAACGCCAAAGGCAAGAAGATGACAGATAGTGTGGCTCATGT